GGCAGGGAGCAGGTCAGGCTCCCTCCCTGCCTGGCTGTCTGCCCTGCCCCTCTCCAGGAAGAGGCTGGAACATGGGGAAGGGGGGGGGCAGAGGGGCTGTGTGTTGCTTCAGGCACTGCCGCCAGCAGCTCCCATTGGCCGCAGTTCCCCGTTCCCAGCCAATTGGAGCTGCTGGGGGCACTGCCTGAAGCAACAGACACACACAGCCCCTCCACCCCTCCTTCCCCATGTTCCAGCCTCTTCCCGGAGCTGCGCAAGCAGGGCAGGCAGGCACGGAGCCTGCCCTGCTCCCAGTGCACGTCCGGCAGGAGCCGCTCTGGTAAACACTGGGGGAGGGCAGGGGGGCTGTGAGAGGCTCACGGGCCGCAGAAAATCACCCCGCGGGCCGCATGCAGCCCATGGGCCGCGTGTTTGAGACCCCTGGTCTAGACTATCAATTGAACCTCCAAAACCTGGTTGAAGCACTTTGGTGGGACAATGTGGAAAATGTACCATACTGCATCTATTCTCTATATTACATACAAAAAAAATCTACCTGTAGGGGAAAAATAGTATGCAATCATGTAAATAAAGAATGTATCTCAATACATGTGCACAAGGGGACTGAATTAAGGTTGCCTGGCCAACTGTAAATCTGGCATTCTCCAACATTTGTGTGTTTGATTTTGAAACCTAAATACTGTTCTTTTAACATAGATTTTTGTATGGAATTTCCAAAGAAAAGGCACTTCCCTCGCCGAACATCAATCCCATTGCTGAATTTCAAAGGCCTGTGGCAAACAATGGAAATGTTAAAGCTTCTCAAAAAGGTCGAAAGAACCTTTTAATGGAAAGTATGAGGCAACCTAAATATCACTACTAAGTCTCTATAATTAATTCTCTTTTTAAAGCAACTCTATATACTAAAACTAAATGATAAATTATTTCCGGTGTCCAATCCGAAATGTTCTACCGCTGAGAGTAGTAATATTAAGATTTAAGTTAAAGCAGTTTATGGATTCATTATTTTAGCATTATCGGAAAAGACAGACTATGTTCTGCATTACTGAATTTCCTCTAACTAATTTTCTGCAGTATTCCTTGTGGTCATGGAAGACAGATGAACTTTCATATAAATGTGTATGGCTTCAACTATTTCCTCTCCTCTGATAAGGGTGTTGAGTCATGAATAATTTGGGTGAAAGGATAGCAAATTGATACTGATGACAAAATTAGAAATGAGACAAAAATGCCCTGTTGGATAAGAGGTGCCCTTTAACTAGACTTTTCCTTTTTTGAAATAATTCATTTCAAGGTCTTAGTGACAGATAAAATACTTTATTCACATCTGTTAGAAAACAGTGTTTATGAAACCTTTGATATGGAGAGTTCCTAGTGACCATTGGCACTGAATGTTAACAGATCTGCACACCCCAAAATCTTTTTTAGTGATTGGATGACAGTTAAAGCAAAATGATATTATAATATTCACAGTTAAAGGAATCTAAATATTAAATAAATTACTTATTAATATTAAACCAAAGCCTGTTATCCTTACAGTTTAAATTCCTGAGTTACCTGTACCTCTGACCCTCTTGTGGCTTCCTCGAAGCCACCCAAGTTAGGGGGCAGCTGAAGGCCTGACACCTTTCTCAGGATAGAATCCCGTGATTCTCTCACTTCAGACCACAGTCTCAGGCTGCAGACTCCTGCAATTCATTGTGTTCGCCTCAGCAGATGTGACCTCATTTCAGCTCTGTTGAACTCAGTTCATTATTCTCTCTAGGGTAATGGCAGGGTTAACCAGTGACCGGGCAGCTTTCATAAAACAAAGTACTATTTATTCAAAACAAAAAATATTAGAGTAAATGTATCTTAAAAAGAATAAACAGCTTATACACAGGCTAGCTTACAAGGTGGTCACTAGTAGGTTCTAAAATACTTCAGATCCTCCCTCAAGGTCTAGTTCTGCTGCACTGAGTTTTATGCATGTCAGTTTTCGGATTGTGACCATGACCCTCTCTCCAGATCAAGGCTGTTATTTTCAAGTCCTTTGTCTGCCAAAGCCTTTGAACTAAGTGTCAACCCATCTGTGTGCTCTTTTCCCAAGGGGGCAAAACTTAAACAATGCAGGTAACAAGTCTTTTTGAAGTATTGGGGATTAGTTCCTGCAGGAAGCATCTGTTATCTGACCCATTAGGCAGGAATACAATCACTAGCAAGCCCGCAAAGATACATATAACATAAACTTAATACAATAGTCTTTGCATATTTATTCCATGACTCCATAGCATCTATCAGACTTGCCTATATCCTACTCATCCACAACTCCTACTTACTTCAGTGAGTGTGTTGCCCACACATCAACTCAATAAAAAAAAAAAAAAAAGAAGTGAAGACAGCTTAAAGATTTGGTCCAATAATACTTAAAGGAACAAATTAATCCCTGATCTATTCCATTCACTTCATTGGCATTATAGCATGGATAAAGTTGGCCCAGCGGGTAGAAGTGTTGATCTTAATATGATCCTATTTGGATTATTCCTAATCAAGCGATACTTTTGGCTTTGCTCCTAGTTAATGCTCTGTTGGAGCTCTTGACATAGAACATTATATGTGATCAATGACATCATGATAGTCATGAGAGAAGTGCAACTGACATTCGACAAAACAGAGAAATTGATTCTACCCAAATATTGTCAACTACACAAAGAACAGGAAAAAAAAATTACTAAGATTTGTCTATAATCTTAGTTATTTGAAGCAATTTTTGGATGGAAAGATATAATTTTCATGTTCATTGCATCTTTTAAAGAAAGTAGCACCCTATAGAGATATACTGTTAAGAAGATATCTTTATGTGAAGTATTAAATGATACAAGACTATGGGTAGGGGTGCTGGAACAAGTTTTATAGTGGATGGTGCTTAGACCCCACTGAACCAAACTGTAAACCCAATAGGCAATGGAAACCACTTCAAGCCAGGAGTGTGGCAGCACCCCAAGTTCCAGCACCTATGATTATGGGCCAGATTTTTTAAAGTATTAGGCACCTAAAATATCAGCTAGTTGCCTAGTGCAGTGGTTCTCAACCAGGGGTACACGTAACCAGGGGGGTACACAGAAGTCTTCCAGTGGGTACATCAACTCATATAGATATATTTGCTTAGTTTTACAACAGGCTACATAAAAAACCCTAGTAAAGTCAGAACAAATTAAAATTTCATACCGCTCGATATACTATACACTAAATGTAAGTACAATATTTATATTCCAATTGATTTATTTTAGAATTATATGGTAAAAATGAGAAAGTAAGTAATTTTTCAGTAATAGTATGCTGTGTATTTTTAGCTCTAATTTTGTAAACAAGTAGTTTTTAAGTAAGGTGAAACTTGGGGTATGCAAGACAAAGCAGATTCCTGAACAGGGTACAGCAGTCTAGAAATGTTGAAAGCCACTGGCCTAGTAGGATTTTCAAACACCTACACACCTAACTCCCATTGATTTCATGGAAGTTAGACACCTAGGTACCTTTGAAAATCCCACTAAGTTCCTATCTGCTGCTTTAGGAGCCTAATTACCTTTAGAAATCTGGCCCTATGACATTGGTCCTCTATTCTTGGTTATAAGGCAACAACATGATTGATATACTTGAAATAATACCAACTATTACATTTTAAACTAATATATAAAAGAATACAAGAAATTGACCAAGAAAACATATTCAAAGCAATCATGATGCACATCTTCATAGTTGCTTGTATGCAAGGTTTTCATAAAGCATGTTTTCCAATCTTCTTGTCTTCCTTTTTGTAGATCATAAAAAGGAAGAAACTGTTTTATCTAAAAATAGATTCCCTTAACAGATGTTTCAATATCATTTTAGAAGTACTCAAAAAAAAAAACCACTTATGACAATCCTTGTGTATTCAATATTTGCAAAAATAGAGCTACTTGTTTCAGAACAGAATTCTATTTAATGCAAAAGAATAATGAAGATGCCATTGCTTATGGCAAGATTTTGATAGGGATGTTATATCCTAGCTAATGCTGAACAAACAAACCTGATTTACTTTATTGTAAAATTTAGATGTATCTCTTACCCATTCGTAACACACAATCCAGCAGCCCCGGGCAATTCCCAGCATTACATTCAAGGTGCGACGAGGACTCCCTGTAACCACGTGAGTAGTCGTTTCACATACATCATCCGAAAACAAAAAGCCTCCGAGTTTATTCACCACCTGAATTATTGCACACTGCTTCCTGCCAAAACACAGAAGGGGGAGGTGGGGAATCCACAATCAGTAGAACTCAATATTAAATGTTTACTTTATATACAGTAACTATTAGGGTATATGCATACATGTAAAAATTCAGTCAAAACTTTTACTTAACAGATTTTACAGGGAAATTCCAGTTGTTAAGCACCCCCAAACATCAGGCCACATTTAGCCAGGGTGGATAAAAATCTTTTTTTTTTATTTAAAAAAAAAAGGATTTTTTTTATTTAAATCGGATTTTTTTGATAAAATGCTTTTTGAGGGAAAAAGCTATCTAAAGATAGTTTTAATTAAGGTACATTATAGTTCAAAGATCTCTCATAATGGGATAGGGATTATAAATTCTAATTCTATAGTATGAGAATATATTCATGTAATGTTTAAGAAAAGTTTTGTAAATGAATTCCAATAGTTCATGGATTAGGGACCCAATCCTATGGGGTTCCAGAGGCTTCTGTATAGATTATTTAGGTTAATCTTTCTATCTACCCAATGGGACTCAGTGCTAAGTCTAAAAGATACCATCAGAGATACTTAGTTTTACAGTTCTCAAACTGTGGATTTGTCTCTCCAGAGGTAACATGCTTGTTAACAGCAAAAATGTTCTTAAATAAATAAATGATAGAGGTGAGAAATAACAGACCTCAACTCTATTGTCCCTCTGCCAATTTGTGTACACAGAGTCAACCCCTTACCTCTCCCTAAAAGTGCAAAGTTTTAAAAAGTTCAATAAATAGAAGATTGGTGGGGGCGGAATAGATCGGGACAAGAAGTCTGGACATAAATGTGAGAAGTGAGGGACATATGCTTGTTTTGTTAAAATATTATATGTTTGCTGTTGAAGAAAAAAATCCAGAATACTTAACATTTTTGTTTTAGTTAAATAAAACAATTTAAATGTCTATCTGGTGATGTTCACCTCCTAATACAGCATGGCAAGAAAATATTAATGATTAACCTGTTGAATTGGAGCTAGTTCACCTCCCAATGACTTCATAAATATCTGCTTCAATTACCTTTGGTAAATGAAATAACCAAATAATCATTCATTTTCTGATATAGCTGTAAAACTAATCTGAAATGTTTTCAAAATAAAACAGTTTAAAAATGTATAGTGTCTACCTTCTAAAAGTGAAGAATATGTATTAAGGTTATAACAACCAACAAGAATGTACTTTTATGTAGAAACCCATGATTAAATCAAGTCTTCCTGACTAGTGATTTAAATCATGATTTAAATTAATTTGATTTACATCAAATCCACCCTGCACTTAGCCTAAATATTAAACTAGGTGTCCCAAACTCAAATGCCTAATTTTAAAGTTTTGTCCCTACTGACTAGACACCTCAATACCATCATAAAAATTACTGTATGTTGATTCAATCACCAGAGCATGATGCTCACTAGTCCTACAAGTTATTGCCACCAGATACAATTTCCATGTAAAATACTGAATGTCGACCTGTAACTAGAGTTCTATATATATTACCTATGAATGTGAACATTGAAGTACATAAATACATCATCATGTGACCACTGAGATTTTGGTATCCCTGGACGAAAGATGATGTATGAGAACAATTTACTGCTGCAGTACTGTAACCAAAAGCTTGATTCCAATGTCTTTTCCGTCCACACACCTGACTTCTGGGAGCTTGAGAGGAAGCTCAGAAACACCTCTACTCAAGATCAAGTAATTAAGAAACAGCCTGGAGCAGATTCACCCATCTAGTCCAATGCTGATCCTCTCAGGAAAAATAGGCTGAGTTCATCTGTCAATCAATGCCATCTTGTAATCATGTTCAGGACATCTCCTATAGCCTGTGGGGCACTTTTTCATTCCATCTACATTTCTCTCTACAGAAAGTAACTCAATAAAAAAGCTCCTAAAATAAACTGGCTAAAACAAAGAGTGCACAGAACTCCAAGAAGATCCTAAAAGGATTCTTCATAGAGACAGCAACAGCTTTTAAAATGAGATTTAAAGAAAACAAATAGCTTAGCAAATTGACTTCCCACTGAAAGAGATGCCAAGTGCAGAGCTCTTTTTAACTTTTTTAACTGCCTGAATATAGACATAGGAGTCTAACTTTAGACCCTCATTTGTGATCATCTTAGCCTTACCTATTTGTCACTGGATATATTTATGCTTCCTTTATCCTGCAGAGTGTTTTAGTTAGACAGAGATTGTGTGTGATGGTCATGGCAACTTTGAACTCACAGGGATGCGGACCCTACCTGGACTATATGCTCAGGGGATATGTTTTACACACTCCTCCCAAAGTTTATCTTGGCTTTTTGGGGGGGGGGGGTCTACATGAGATATGCTCTGGAATGAGAGGAAAGGTCCTACAATATGAATCTGAACTGAAATAGCTCTAATATCTAGTTTACAATAGAAACTAGCCAATTCACATTTCAATAAACTACAAACCTACTGATACAGATTTACGGGTTTGCAATTCCGTGAAGCACAATATGGCTAGGTATTGCTGTGGGCCAGTGGGTGATGCTATGATCTTATATGAGGAAAACAATGTCAAGACACCCACTCATCTCACACCTCTATATTTACTTAAATTCCACTGACCCATTTCTATAGCCCTAGCTCCTACTCAGGCAGAACAGGCTCTTGGCAGATGGCTTCTCTCCCAGAGGGATGCATTTCCTCCTCTTTCCAGAGGTAGTCCGCCCCACTCATAGACTGGGGAACACAACCTATAATGTGCTCTCTGTACTCTGAATGCAGTCAGCTCAAAGCACAGACCTCAAAGTAGAAAGCAGACTTTTGAGGGACAAATTTGGTTACCATTAGCCATATAACATACCATAACATAAACTAAGGCCTGGTCTGCACTATGGGGTTAGGTCAAATTTAGCCGCGTTAGGTCGATGTAAAAATGATTGTGTCCACACAACCAACCCTGTTCCGTCGACCTAAAGGGCTCTTAAAATTGACTTTTGTACTCCTCCCCTGCGAGGGGAGTAGCACTAAAAACGACCTTGCTGGGTCAAATTTGGGGTAGTGCGGACGCAAATTGATGGTATTGGCCTCCGGGAGCTATCCCAGAGTGCTCCATTGTGACCGCTCTGGACAGCACTTTGAACTCCGATGCACTAGCCAAGTGCACAGGAAAAGCCCCGGGAACTTTTGAATTTCGTTTCCTGATTGGTCAGCATGGCGAACTCAGCAGCATAGGTGACCATGAAGTCCCCCCAGAATCGCAAACGAGCTCCAGCATGGACCGAAAGGGAGACGCTGGAACTGATTGCTGTATGGGGAGAAGCATCTGTGCAGGCCGAACTCCAATCAAAAAGAAGAAATGCAAATATATTTGCCAAAAATCTCACAGGGCATGTTGGACAGAGGCTACAACAGGGACACACAGCAGTGTCGTGTGAAAGTTAAGGAGTTCAAGCAAGCCTACCAAAAGACAAAGGAGGCAAACCGTCACTCTGGGTCAGAGCCCCATACATGCCGCTTCTATGACCAGCTGCATGGCATTCTAGGTGGAGACCCTACCACTATCCCACCACTGTCCGTGGACACCTGCAAGAGGGGAGTCTCACGCAACAGGGAGGAGCATTTTGCAGAGAAGGAGAATGCACAGCAGGCAAGTGGTGAATCCGTTCTCCCCGGCAGCCAGGAACTTTTCATCACCCTGGAACCAATACCCTCCCAAGGCGGGATCCCCGACCCTGAAGCTGGAGAAGGCACCTCTGGTGAGTGCACATATGTGTAACTACAGTACAGGGTTTAAAAGCAATAGTGTTTAATGTTTGATTTGCCCTGAAGAACTGGGATGCATTTGCGGCCAGTACAGCCACTGGAAAGGTCTGTTCATATGTCTGGTGATGGAGCGGGAATCCCTCAGGGACATTTCCATAAAGCTCTCCTGGAGGTACTCTGAAAGCCTTTGCAGAAGGTTTCTGGGGAGGGTTGCCTTATTTCGTCCTCCACAGTAGGACACTTTACCACGCCAAGCCAATAGCAAGTATTCTGGAATCATTGCAGCACAAAGCATGGCAGCGAATGGTCCTGGGTTTTGATCGCATTCAAGCAACATTCGGTCTTTATCTTTCTGTGTTAGCCTCAGTAGAGTGATATCGTTCATGGTCACCTGGTTGAAATAGGGGAATTTTTGTAAGGGAACAGTAAAAGGACCCCGTTCATGCTGCGCTATTTGCGCTTGGCTAAAAGGGATCATCCCAGAGAATAGCCATGCGGTGGGGGGGAAAGGGAGAAGGGATCATCCCGGAGAACAGCCACGCAGCGGGGGGAGGGGAGAAGGGATCATCCCAGAGAATAGCCACACGGTGGGGTCGGGGGTCGGTGGTCGGTGTGTGCTGCACATCCACCCAAAAACCACAGCCCCTCCTTTTAAATGTGAAACCCAACCCATTGTTTGCTCTGGGAAAGGAGGGCACTGCAGTTTGCAAATATTCCCACATGTTATGAAGGCGTTAGAAGCCAAACCCGCGTTCCCTTTGGCTTACCATGGCTGCCTGGAAACCAAATTCTGTTGACCAGCCGTGTGTGAGTGATGTGTCACCATACCGGCAGGCGCTCAATATAAAAGGCAAAATGTGACCTTGTATCTAAAGCACATGTGCTGTCTGCTGTGAATTGCTTGATTCACTGTGAAAGAGTCTCCCTTTTGTTCTCAGAAATGTATCATCTTAAAGTTTACTCTCCCTTTTTATCTACCCCGAGGTTCAAATGTTTCTATGCTCCCTCTATCATCTCCATCCCTGAGGTTATTGCAGATTAGAAGGCAAAAAAACCCACACTCGCAATGATATGTTTGCTGAGCTCATGCAGTCCTCCCGCACTGATAGGGCACAGCTTAATGCATGGAGGCATTCAGTGGCAGAGGCCAGGAAAGAATTAAGTGAGCGCGAAGAGCGGAAGCAGGAGGCGATGCTGAGGCTAATAAGGGATCAAATGGACATGCTGAAGCATTTGTTTGAGCTGCAGGAAAGTCAACAAGAGCACAGACCCCCGCTGCATCCACTGTATAACCGCATGCCCTCCTCCCCAAGTTCCATATCCACCTCACCCAGATGCCCAAGAACGCAGGGGGGAAGGAGGAGGGGGAGGCTCCAGGCACTCAGCCACTCCACTTCAGAGGATGGCCCAAGCAACAGAAGGCTGTCATTCAAACAGTTTGATTGTTAGTGTGACTACAATAAACAATGTGGCCTTGTCCTTCCCTCCTCCCCCACCCGACCCGGGCTACCTTGTACGTTATCTCTCTCTCTTTTTTTTTTAAATTAATAAAGAAAGAATGCATGGTTTCAAAACAATAGTTACTTTATTTCAAAGGGGGGAGGGTGGTTGGCTTACAGGGAATTAAATCAACAAAGGGGGCGGGTTTGCATCAAGGAGGAACATGCACAACTGTCACACTGAAGCCTGGCCAGTCATGAAACTGGTTTTCAAAGCCTCTCTGACGCGCAGCGGGCCTTGCTGTGCTCTTCTAATCGCCCTGGTGTCTGGCTGCTCAAAAATCGGACGCCAGGTGATTTGCCTCAATCTCCCACCCCGCCATAAACGTCTCCCCCTTACTCTCACAGATATTATGGAGCATACAGCAAGCAGCAATAACAATGGGAATGTTGTTTGCACTGAGGTCTGACCTACTCAGCAAACAGCGCCAGCAAAGGCACGTTCTACCACCATTCTGCACTTGCTCAGCCTGCTGTTGAACTGCTCCTTACTACTGTCCAGGCTTCCTTCATAAGCCATGGGAGCAAGGGGTAGGCTGGGTCCCCAAGGATAACTATTGGCATTTCAACATCCCCAGTGGTAATTTTCTGGTCTGGGAAGTAAGTCCCTTCTTGCAGCTGCTCAAAGAGCCCAGATTTCCTAAATATGTGAGCATCATGCACCTTTCCTGGCCATCCCATGTTGATGTTGGTGAAACGTCCCTTGTGATCCACCAGTGCTTGCAGCACCATTGAGAAGTACTCCTTGCAGTTTATGTACTGGTTGGCAAGGTGGTCTGGTGCCAAGATGGGGATATGCGTTCCGTCTATTGCCCCACCACAGTTAGGGAATCCCATTGCAGCAAAGCCATCCAGTATGACCTGCACATTTCCCAGAGTCACTACCCTTGATAACAGAACGTCAATGATTGCATTGGCTACTTGGATCACAGCAACCCCCACAGTAAACTTGCCCACTCCAAATTGATTCCCGACTGACCGGTAGCAGTCAGGCATTGCAAGCTTCCACAGGGCTATCGCCACTCGCTTCTCAACTATCAGGGCAGCTCTCATCTTGGTATTTCTGCGCTTCAGGGTTGGGGAAAGCAACTCACAGAGTTCCAGGAAAGCGGACTTACACATGCGAAAGTTTCACAGCCACTGTGAATCATCCCATACCTGCAACACTATGCGGTCCCACCAGTCTGTGCTTGTTTGCCTGGCCCAGAATCAGCGTTCCACTGTATCAACCAGCCCCAGTGCCGCCATGATGTCCTAATTGCCACAGCCCGTGCATTCAGGAACGTTTGTGCCCATGTCCTCATCAAAATCCTCCTCGTGCTGGCGTCTCTTAGTCCGGTTCTGCATATACTCCAGGATAATGCGCGAGGTGTTTACTATGCTCACAACAGCAACGGTGATGGTGAGCTGAGCAGGCTCCATGCTTGCCGTGGTATGGCATCTGCATGGGTAACCCAGGAAAAAAGGCGCAAAACGATTGTCTGCTGTTGCTTTCACGGAGGAAGGGGCAACTGACGACATGTTCCCGAAACCACCCGTGACAATATTTTTGCCCCATCAGGCATTGGGAGCTTAACCCAGAATTCCAATGGGTAGCGGAGACTGTGGGAACTGTGGGATAGCTACACAAGGATCAATGCAAGAAGATTACATTTAATATGAGAAAGGAAGGTTTAGCAATATGGTCATGAGATCTGGGTTGTTTTTCCAGCTCTGCCATGACGTCTTCCTGTGTTTTTGGACAAATCACAACCTCCCTGTGCTTCATTTGTCTCATCTGTAACATGGTGATCATATTTACCTACCTTATAGGGGATGTTGTGTTGTGCAGTGTCAAGGCTGCTTCCCCACTCTGAACTTTAGGGTACAAATATGGGGGCCTGCATGAAAACTTCTAAGCTTAACTACCAGCTTAGATCCGGTCCGCTGCCACCACTCCCAAAGTGCTAATTCCCTTCCCTGGGTATCCTTGAGAGACTCTTCACCAATTCCCTGGTGAATACAGATCCAAACCCCTTGGATCTTAAAACAAGGAAAAATCAATCAGGTTCTTAAAAAGAAGGCTTTTAATTAAAGAAAAAGGTAAAAATCATCTCTGTAAAATCAGGATGGAAAATAACTTTACAGGGTAATCAAACTTAAAGAGTCCAGAGGAATCCCCTCTAGCCTTAGGTTCAAAGTTACAGCAAACAGAGATAAACACTCTAGCAAAAAGGCACATTTACAAGTTGAGAAAACAAAGATAAAAACTAACATGACTTGCCTGGCTGTTTACTTACAAGTCTGAAATATGAGAGACTTGTTCAGAAAGATTTGGAGAACCTGGATTGATGTCTGGTCTCTCTCAGTCCCAAGAGCGAACAACCCCCAAAACAAAGAGCACAAACAAAAGCCTTCCCCTCACCAAGATTTGAAAGTATCTTGTTCCCTTATGGGTCCTTTGGGTCAGGTGTCAGCCAGGTTACCTGAGCTTCTTAACCCTTTACAGGTAAAAGGATTTTGGAGTCTCTGGCCAGGAGGGATTTTATAGTACTGTACACAGGAGGGCTGTTACCCTTCCCTTTATAGTTATGACATGCAGTTAAATGTAAGGCTTGTGAAGTGCACTGATGCTCTAAAATGGATGGGTGTTAGTGTCGAGTTTCATGAGGCATAAAGAAGATAAAACTAAAACTATATTTTAAGTTTTTCTGCTTCCTGAACTATTATTTTATAATGAAAGTGGAAAAAATTGACAGAAACACGGTTAGTAGCTATCTTTAAAGAAATGCTTTAGACAAATGCATTTTTAAAGTAGTCATCTTTATATAACCATCATGGTTTATCAAATGTTTTCAAACCTGAAACAGACATGTGGGTGGCACAAATAACTTGTTATTTTTTTTCAAAGGAATTTAACATAAAATATGGGACTGTGTTTTTGTTGGATGATCTTTATTTTGTAAGAGTTTAAGGAGAATAAAAAGAGTGTACCAGAAAAATACTAACTCTTCCACAAATATGTATGTACTATACTGTAGTTTTATTACCTTTAATTGCTGTGTAGGACAACCATAACATTACTCTAGTCCAGTGGCTCACAACCTTTCCAGACTACTGCACCCCATTCAGGAGTCTGATTTGCCTATTGTACCCCAAGTTTCACCTCACTTAAAAATTACTTGCTTACAAAATCAGACATAAAAATACAAAAGTGTAACAGCACACCATTACTGAAAAATTGCTTATTTTCTCATTTTTACCTGATAATTTGAAAATAAATGAACTGGAATATAAATACTGTACTTACATTTCAGTGTATAGTATATTATATAGAACAGTATAAACAAGTCACTGTCTGAGTGAAATTTTAGTTTGTACTGGCTTCGCTAGTACTTTTTATGTAGCCTGTTGTAAATCTACACAAATATATAGATGAGTTGATGTACCCCCTGGAAGACCTCTGTGTACCCCAGGTTGAGAACTCCAGCTCTAGTCTACAGAATAACACCATGTATTTAAGCATATGCATGCCACTCAACAGAAGGAAATATACTTCATGGATAACCTACAAATAAATTTAATTCAGTATGTGAAAGCCAAGACTATAAACAAGTTCAAAATTTACACTGAATAGAAAGACACAAAAATATCTAGTACTTACTCAGAGGACATGCTTGTCATGACTAATGTTCTTGTTGGCTAGAGATTTAAAAAAGGAAGAACAAAAAAACAAAGTCAAAAATATGAAAAACTTTTTCCCACAGAAACTAAGTTATAAGAGATTCCACTAAAAACACAAAGTAAATCAGGATTAAGACACTAGTTTGCAGGCCTGCTGCATGTTGCAGGAAATAAGAACTCTGAACAGATTACATGTCCCATGATTCCAAGGACAGTGATGTTCAGGCATATCACAAGTGATGCACTTTGGCATCAGGGAAGGCAACCGCTATACACTGCACAAACACTTTCTGCCATCTGCCCTTCTCTGAAGCATAAGCAAATGCTCCAATGGCTCCATCCAAATATGTTAACATATCACTTAAATGGACAAAAAATTATTTCTTGGGGGAAAATTTAGAATCTATTATAAAAGGAGGGCTAGAGCCTTGGAACCCCCTTATACTTGTATCTTAACAAATAACCATTTGTTAAGATTCAAGTGTAAAACCACCAATGTGGTGCCTGAGCAAGAGACGGTGCAAACAAGATGGTTCTGTAATACACCTCTACCCCGATATAATGCTGTCCTCGGGAGCCAAAAAATCTTACCGCATTATAGGTGAAACCGCGTTATATCGAACTTACTTTGATCCGCCGGAGCGCGCAGCCCCGCACCCCCAGAGCACTGCTTTACCGCGTTATATCCGAATTCATGTTATATCGGGCCGCATTATATCAGGGTAGAGGTTTCAGCTGGTGATAATGATTAATACTTCAAATTAGTTTACAAAAACTTCCAATGCCACTGTACAGCTACCATACTTTGAGTTACGCCTTCGAGCTGGTAACCAATCATTAGAAGAAAATTAGATATATTACCAAGATACAGAATATATTCATTTTCTTAGCAAATCTATGCTTTCATTTAACATAGAAAATTGTGGCAAAGTACTTATTCATCTTTCTGAAGCATATACATTGCATATAGCATCAACCTGTCTACCTAAGAAACAGATATACCTAAAATAAGTTTTCCAAAAACTGAAGGCAAGCAGGTCTGCTTAGTACTATATTATTACATATACTACCCACAGTAACAAAAAGGTATGTAAGGTTTGTTTGAAAATATTTGTATGATTCATATAGTGTTTTAAATAAATCTGTGCTCTAGAAGTTTTCCTACGAATCTATTGATCCACAGGAGATCCACACAGTGTCTCTTCTACTGTTTCCCCCTGCCATGCCACAACCCCAAGTTTGCTGACCCCTTCCCACAACTAGTTTCTTTTGAATCATGTACATAGTTGAGAATGTCTAAGATACTGTAAATCAGCTTAAAGCTTGTAGCACAGGCTCAAGAGGTGGCTGAATGCCTCACTGCATCTTATTTATTAACGAATCACAATTAGAGAAAGAACAGACCCACAGTATAAACTCCCCAGTGCAGAATTATTCTCCATTGTATAGTCAAGTAATATAAAAAGAGGAGAGTTCCTTGAAGTTATTTTACTAGACTAATGGCTTTTACTTTGCAGCAAGAATGCGTATTCATTCTTTGATGTGAATGGGCTTTAAATAAATAATTTGGCTTCAGATTATACAATGAGTTATAACTATCAATGTTGTAAATACACTCACATTTTTCCCTTTGCTTAAATGCTTTGTTCCTATCCTTCGTTAATTAGTACATTATTTTTAAAAGAAATGAGACGAGGACACAGAAAAGCCATTAAAAGACATTTTTCAGAGTTTGAAATAGACAATAAAAACTTAAAGGAAATTCAAAAGAAGAGAGACTAACCACAGTTCAGCTTTTGGGAAATAAATACAGTAACACAGAAATAGAATTTTTAGAAATGTATATATCTGAACATTCAATTTGTGAATAACTGGAGGATGAAGGGGTGATCACTAGCATCCAACATGGATTTACTAAGAACAAATCATGCCAAACTAGCTTGATTTCCTTCTTTGACAAGTTAACTGGTTTGGTGGATAGGAAGAATGTGGTGGGCATAATATACCTGGATTTAAGCAAGGCTTTTGACACAGTCCTACATGACATTCTGATAAACAAGCTGGAGAAATGTGGGCTTGATGGACCTACCATTGAGTGGATACATACTTGGTTACTCAACCTCAAACAAAGAGTCACTGTTAATGGAATGATTACTCCTGGGGGAATTCTGTGCCACTGACAGGGATGCAAAGGGAAGCTGCAAGAGCAGTCATGCATCACTCCCTAGCAGCACAGTTACATTGTTTCAGGCACCTTGAGCAGCTGGCAGAGATGTAAATCACCATGGGCTGGGAACACCCCATCCAGCGGCTCCTACCCTGAGCCGGGATCAGCTGCTAGTCCCAGCTGGACTGGAGGCAGGAGAAGACGGGACTTCCTCTTCCCCTGCAAGGAGTGGCTGGGGCTGTGTCAGACCCACCTCCAGAAACCTTCCCCAGCTGCAGGAAGCTCAGCATCCTCCCCTGCTTCCTGCCGCTATTGCTCCTCAGCCACAGGGGGAGAGGTCACTGTGCAGGGAGCTGCTCCCCCATCCGCCCATCCTCCGTGCATCTGGACCTCCCATATCCAGATATCCTCACCAAGCCTCACCCTATACACCCAGAACTCCCCTAGCCCACCATACCTGAATCCCACCCCACTGAACCCCAACCCCTGCATCTGGAGCCCCCCTGCACCCAGACTTCCTGCCTTCAGACCCCAACCCCTGCACCCAGACCACCCCCTCCCCGAGCTCCCTGCACTCAAACCCCTACCCTGATGAGCCTCAGCCCCCTGCACCGCCCTGAGCCCTCACATGCAGACCCCCAAGCCAGACCCCCAACTAGCTGCACCTAGACCACCAACCCACCAAACCCCACTCTCCCAGCACCCAGACCCCTCTGCTGAGCCCCAACCACTGTCACCTGCAAGCCCCATTGCCCCTGCACCTGGAACCCCCACAACAAGCCTCTGTGCATCCAGATCCCCCCACACCTAGACCCCCCCTGAACTGCCTGCACCCAGATTGTCCCACACAGAATCCTCTCATCCTACACTTAGATCCCCCCAAGCTGAGCCCCTTCCACACTTGGATCCTGCCTGGTTGAGCCTGCCTACCCCACACCTGGTGTAGAGGGACAGGGCCCCAGGGTGTTTCTGGGACAGGCCTAGAGCTTGTGCTGTGTCAGGGTTGGGTGCAGCCTCACCACTAAGTCTGTGTCCCTGAGTGGGGTGTGGGGAGGCTGCAGGGTGATCTCCCACCTTCGTACAGCCAGTGGCCTGTGCTACCCCCTGCCATGCTGGAGCCTCTGCATTTATTTATTGACAAATAAAGCTTGCAGAGTTTTGTTGAATTTTAAAATATTGTGCACAGAATTTTTAATTTTTTGGCACAGAATGCCTTCAGGAGTAAATAATGGCAATTTGGAAGGAGGTCTCAAGTGGGGTTCCTCAGGGATCAGTTCTGGATTTGGTCTTATTTAACATCTTTATTAATTATCTGGATGTATGAATAGAGAGCATACCGATCAAATTTGCAGATGACACAAAGCTGGGGAGGGGGGCGCTGCAAACACTTGGGAGGATAGAGCTAAAATTCAGAGGGATCTTGATAAATTCGAGAACTGGCCTACAGATGACAAAATGAACTTCAACAAAGACAAATGTAAGGTGCTACACTTAGGGAAGAAAAACCAAATGCACAAATACAGAATGGGGGATAACTGCTGAGAAGGATGTGGGAGTTGTAGAGGATCACAACCTCAGCATGAGTCAACAATGCAGTGCTGTTGCAAAAAAAGCAAACACAGTTTTGGGTTGCATTAACAGAGCCATAGCATGCAAGTCACGGGAGGTGATAGCGCCGCTCTACTTGGCCCTGGTTAGGCTTCAGCTAGAGTTCTGTGTCCAATTTCGGTCACCAGTTTAGAGAAACTAGAAAAGATCCAGAGGCAAGCAACAAAGATGGGATGGATGCAAGCCATATGAGTAAAGGTTGAAGGAACTGGGTAAGTTTAGTTTGGAAAGAGGAGATTAAGGGAGGACATGATAGTGGTCTTCAAATACTCAAAAGGCTGTCATTAAAAAGATGAAGAAAAGTTGTTCTCTTGCCACAGAGCACAGAACAAGAGGCAGTGAGTTCAAACTACAGTATAGGAGATTTAAATTAAATCTCAGGAAAAAAAATCCTAACTGTAAGAACAGTAGGACAATAGAACAGACTACCTAGGGAAATCATGGAAGCTCTTTCATTGCAGGTTTTCAAAAAGAGGCTGGATAGCCATCCATCTTGGATGGTTTAGATACAACAAAACCTGCATCTTGGCAAGAGATTAGACTAAACTTGCATCCCTTCTGACTTTATGCTTCTATGATTCTATACATATACAAAATCAGGACAAAAAAAATATTATACCTGAGATTTAGGAAACACTGCTGTAAGTTACACAGGCATTTGATAATAGTTCAAAAGTAAACAATTATAGAACACAAAAGAAATTAAAAATCCAGGTATAGAGGAATAACAAAGTAAACACACACAAAAAAAGAAAAAAAAGAGAGAGAAAAACAGTGCAAAAAGTGAGGTGGTGTGCTGAAATGGTGGTGATAAACAGGAGCTGTATCTGAAGATTAGCCAATGTGAAAAACTATTAACTCAATCCTGCTGCACCTTAACTAGAAACATACAATGCATCTTACCAAACACTTAACTTGCTAATGGTAGCACCTGCTGATTATGTCTGTACTTATTGCTATCCTAGTGACTGGAAGGAAGATTTTTATTTACATATCTAAGATAATGAAATTTCTTTCTTTTCTTAGCCAAAAGATTTTCCACTTTATTTTTGCCAAATTCACATAAGCTGTTAGTGTCAATAGCTCTTGGAATGTTCATCAGCTTAATACAATTTCCTAAAAAAATAAATCCAACTTCTGGACTTTTCATTTTCATATTAGGCACTAAAATACATCCTTCCAATAAAGCCCATATCAACCTGGATCCAGGTGATATGGTCTTGTTTACTCCCACATGGAGCAT